ATCTTAGAATTTAAAATTTTATATAAGGCTCATAACATATTTTTACAAGCAGTTGAATCATAAAAGAAATGCTTAGTTACAATTTTTTTTTACAAGTATTCAAAGTTTGAAATTTGACAACATGTGTAAAAATCACGAACGTTCGCAAATTATTTTAAACTAGAAATTCATAAAAAATTTTCTTTTTAAATCTAAGATTTGAACATTTTTTGTAATCTATAATATATATTCTAGACAGATAAACCGTCTTCTCTCAGAATCGTTTTTCGTACCTATACAATGATAATATAATATCATTGGATTCAAATTTAATTCCATCCATTACAGTTACCCACTTGTACCCAACTGTACAGCAGAGCGACATCCACGACTTACCCACCTTTTTAAATTTAATGGTTATATTTTATATAAGTATATATATATAAGTTTAATAGYTATTGTTATATTGACTAATTTTAAGCCCAATATGTTGAAAAAATTATAAAATTTAAATTATATTATTTAAGACAAGCATATTCATAATTATTAAAGTACTAATAATTGTCTAAATAATAGATTATAATAATATAATCTACTCAATTTAAGTATTTATCAAGATAAATATAATCTATAATATTAAGAATCATAACGGCAACGTTGCATACGAAATGGGCGCATATGGGTAATAAATTTGCAGGTAGTACCATATCTTTCGGGCGCATCTGTGTATATCCCTCGGTGGCTCGGTGCGTAAATGTACTACTCTGGGGTGCAAGTAGGCTGTAGCCAAAAAAAGAATAGATTTTATACGTCGAAACATACCTAAGTCCAATAATAATAATAACAATAAAAAAAACCAATATAAATTTAAAAAATAACAAATATTTACGAAAACACCGATTTTGTTTAAATAGTTTGACTTAATATACAAAATGTTTAATGGATACAAATGACAAATYATACTAATTTATAGTTTTAACTATAACGTTTGTAAAATATGTATCATATATATTATATATTAATATATTTATTAATTATTTATAAATATAGGTGATAGAAGCCAGAAGGTAAGAAGTAACCCTGTATGAAAAATCTATTATAGTCATGTTGATATTAGTTGATGCTAATCCTACACAATATATTATGTTTATAATTGTAGAATTGATCATAGTTATTATTTATAAATTTATAATAAATTATAGTAGGTATAGTAAATATTTTATAATTAATAAAAAAAATAATAATAATAATATTAAATAATATAAGTACTTTAATATTATTATACAATCATGTTTTTAATATAAACATAATATATATTATATTATATTATAAATGTATAGTAATTATTTTTTATCACAAAATTTAACAATCTAACCATTTACAATTTAAATAATTTTATATTATAAGCAGAGCCAGTGGGGCAGTGGCGTATCTATGTATTTAAGCACARGGATGCACTTTATTTTTCGGGCCCCTTATAAAGTTTCAGTTGCTATTTGTTGATTAGACCGATTAGGGGCTTAAAGACCCCATTTATAAGACACAGCTAAGGGACCCGGGTGCAGTGCACCTCCTGCACCCCCTCTAAGTACGCTACTGAGCAGAGCGTAATTCAAAATGAAGTGCTCTTATTTATATTTTGACTTTCAAGTTACCAATGACTAAGTACCTTTTAATTATAAAGTTATAAAATGATTTAGGTGTAGAATTATATGATGTCTATGCTTTGCTGCTATTGCAGTTAATTATAATATWCGAATGACTTTTTAATAGGCTATAACTGCGCATAACTTTATTAGGTACAAGAGAAATTTAAGATAGTAAAAATAAAATTTGGTCGTCAAGTTTGACCGGATGCATTAGTTAATCATTCACAAAAAAAAATTTTATATAAAATTTTTTGAATTAAAAATAGTTATTTTTAAACATAAACTTTTTTGAACCTGAGGTATAGGCCGTATAGGTACTCCTATTGTGTTATTGCTTATTGTTTAATATCAGCTTATGTCATGACCGTACTAAAACTTATACTTTCTGTTATATTGTTAAAACATGTAATGCGTAAACAATACACATATACTAGTGATTTCTAGGATATTTCTATACTTCAAATAGGATCTTATAATAGTTATTGGTACAATGGTACCTATACCTACTTTGTAAACAAAAGTAAGATAGAACAAAAATACTTCATTATTGGTTCTTCCTTAAAGCCTCTCGAGTTACCACATTATAATTAAATAAACTTGTAAGTTGTACACTAATAAATGCTTATTATTCTATTTTTTTTAATGTATAGATTAATTTCTAAAAAAAAAAAAAATAGAAAAACGAGTTTTTTTTATGTAAAACCAGTTGTCGACAAAATTAATTTTGTTTTTTTTTTTATTTTAATTTAAAAGTGAAGAAATTTATATTTGAAACTTTCACCAAATATTTACATAATACTAGGCACTAGCAACTAAACATGATATAAATTTCAAAAAAAAAAAATGGCTCTTTTGTGTTATTTATCGATCTACGAGTATATATATACTATTTTTAGTTTATTTTCGATTAGTATGATAAAATTTGTGTTTGCGAGTAAAATAACTTGAATATAATATAATTCAAGATTCCTCATAATTTTTTTAAGGACTTTAATTAAAAAATATCAAAATATATCAAAACACAGTTAACATTTGTTTTTACAGAAATTATTAAAGTTCAAATTGTTATATGAAATTCATAAAAATCACGTACCTAATACTATTTTAATAGATACCTAAGGTTTGAATATGTAATACAAGGTCATCCATAAGTTGTTTTTTTGGAAGTCAGAAATAGCGTTTATACCTATAAAATTTAAGGAAATAACGATAAAACATAAGACTGTTTTAATTATAACCAAATAAATATTTTAAACTTTGAAATGTATTTTATTATTTCTTCTTATTATAATTAAATACTATTAGGTAAACTAAATTATTAGGTACCTATATGGCTACATTGTAATAGGTACCTGCCTATTAAAGTTGTTTAGCATAATTATTATTGCTGCTAGATGTACTAATTTTAGTTTTTTATAATAGGCATCTAGGTATTTTACTCCTAACCACAATATTGTACCTATACTACATATTGTGATTAAATAAAATGTTATGAATTTTAGAAAAAGTTACCTAAGTGAACGTGAAGCATATAGGTAGTTAAATAATAAATTATAAAATATATTTACAACACAATCAAATAGTTCATTAGTTATTTTAGTAAGAATTATAAACTAAATATGTATATATATTTTTCTAAAGTTAGGTGTAGTTTGGTTACTTTTTTTGGTGTTTATATATATGTTTTATAATTATTATTCATTATACCTAAGTAGTACCTACTATCTATCTATAAAATAGTATAAGAAAGTAATTTTATTCATTAATTTAACCAAATGAATCGGTAAAACTATTAAATTAAGAGGATGCCAATAACAGAAATTATAAAACCAATAACACAATTATAATTTATAGGTGCCAATAACTATAATTTTCGGTTATTTTATACTTGATGGTAAATWAAAAAAAAGTATTTAATATTTATATATAATGATCATATGGTAAAATTTATAACAATTTGTTTAATCATTGAAAATGATAATACAAGTTTAAACTATGTTTAAGTCTGAAATATCATGAAAACAAATATACACTTTTCTAAAGGGTGCCATAATAACTGTAAACTTTACCCTATAGTTATCAAATATATTTTCTATGAGGTATTGGAGTTCATTTCTTTTATTTTACATTAAATATTTGATAATAGTGACATTAGTTGTCACCAATCATATCGCTTCATCGCATTTTACACACACTTATTGACTTATAAATTACTAAATATTATAATAAGTAAGTTATTGTAGAAATAATCATGGAGATTATAGACGTTATAGTATTTCAATTTCAAATACAGTCGCTGCAGTGACGTATTTATAATGGCCGAGGGGGACTTGGCCTAGGGCGTTAAATTTTTAGGGGCGGTAAATTTTGGAGAGCATTCAGATATAATTCGGTACTTAAGTTATTTGGGTGATAAAAAATAGTAATAGCACTCAGATACTAATAAACTATCATGTCTTTTTTTACAGAATTATTAAAGAAATTTAGGTTGGAAGGGAGCGTTTTTTATCTTACCTACAGGGACGTATAAAATTCCTAAATACATATCTAATATAGGTAGGGGCATTTATCATAAAATCGACAACATTAAAAACTTCATTTCTGTGCATGATGAAAATACAACTACCTACATACAATATAATACATATTATTATAAAACTAATTATACATTCTTTTTATTTGTTATGCGCATATGTTATTGTTGACAAAGTCTCTAATATTATACTTTAATGGGTAGGGAAGGATTCAATACGGATTGAGTAATATAATTAATAGATGTTTGATTTTTTTTATATAAATTAGGTACTGATTTGTAAAGCTAAGTCTATTATAATAAATGTTAAAAAAAATATTAAATAAATGACCTTTAAAAATATGAGAACTATTTGTCTACCTTAATGAATGTTCACTATTTTAAATTACCTACCATAATATAATTTTTTGCTCTCAAGGAAACTAAATTATTTGGTTTGTTATCCGTACAAGGTAAATAATAATCTGTACACACATCGTGTAGGTATACGATTTATGTATTTTTTTAATAATCTTTACTATATTAATTGTATAATTAAAATTAATACAAATACAGTAATTAGTATAGATATGAATACATTGAAATACTGTTTGGTTACATTTTACATAGTAATAAAGTTTTGATATATTTTAATAATTAAATAATTTCAAACTCAAGTTTATTTTTAATTAAAAGGGCGTTCTGTGTCAGTCTACAATTTAAAAATTCTTTTATTATAAATAAATGATAATATGAAAAATACTAACCGTATAATTAATAGTTATTATAGTAGTATATCTAATAACTATATATAACAAAACCTATTTATTATTTATTATTTTATCGTGATGAATTGGTTTAATATATCTATAAAAAAGTAAACCTTAAAAGTAGTAACAAAATCAATCGCAGTATTCAATTTAAATTAAAAACAACGTATATAATATACCAACAGATATCGACGTTTTACTAATAATATAAAATAAAAATCGTATAGCTCCTGAGTTTGAAAAAATGCTTCCGAATAAAATTGTAATTTATCCACTACAAATAATTTTTACAAAATATGTCAATATTTCATCTTAATATCTACAATTTAAATGCAAGATTCCTTAAAAATGGGAATATTTAGGTACACATAAAATCAGTTTCGATTTTGATTTTTTGCTGTGCATAAAAAAACACTATTCGTAGAAACTTGAATTAATTCATTTATAGTTAAATTAATATTTTCTATACATATTATCATATTTTCTATACATAATTTTGACGAAATCGGATGTTTAAAAAAATAAACCTGATGTTTAATAATAATAATAATAGAATACGTATGTAAAAGTCAAAAGTTGAAAATCTCGAAGATCTTCAATATCCAGAGGTATAAAAAATAATATTGCTTATTTACATAAATATAATACAATATTTACATTATATAAATTAGAAATATTCGTTTTAAAAAATATTTTTTTGCTTTAACTACTTATATTTACAATGCATATCAAATAAATGCAGTTTTAATGTCCTAATTCCTAAACCTTCTGATAGTAATAAAGTAAAAAGTAAATACTTACTATGAGGTTCAGGGTTATTGTCAGAAATCACGACCTCTGTCAGACTATCATCCTCCAACCCGTGAACACAGTCCTCAGATTCCACGTGCAAGCGCTGCAGCTTTTCTTCGGCCGTAATCACTTCCAATAGCAAAGGAATCGTCGTCTTTGTTACATCAGACATTTAAAATAAATGTCTCTTCGCAGCGTTAAAAATATATATAAATTATTAATAAAACTGATCAAAATCGCGACAGTTTAGTGGTGCCAATATTATAATATATTATGAACATAAGTAATATTATAATGTATTAATATTACATAAATATATCATATATTATATAACATTTTTTTCATATTTTAAGTAATTTTACATAATATACGTCATGCGTTTGGGATTCGGTTGTGATGATACAAAATAATTTTTAAATAATACGCGCATGAAACGGCGAACGGAGACGAAACTGTAAACGGAACGCGTTTTTGTTGAAAGCTGGAGGAGTAAAAAATAAAAATAAATAAATAGGTAGGCACCGCTCGGTCTGCGTCGTGGTTCGGCGGACCGGTTCGGTAGTATCGTCGCAAAAATCCAACGGAGCCAGGGGCGCTGTGTACAAGTTAAAAATACCAAGGAATCTACAATCTATTGCCTAAATATTAGAACTATTTTTACTAGTAATAGGTATAATATATTAGTATAATATATAATTTGAACTGCGATTTGATTGTAGAAAAGTTGTAGCCTTGTGAGAATGTGGGTTATACAGGTAGGTATTATAAGCGCCTAAATTAAAATGAATCGTTTTTTAGCGTAAGCGCCTCGATATAACATTGATAATATTACTATGCACTTATGAGATAGGCCTTAGGCGAGTCCTACCTCTGCGAATCGACTGCAACTATAGGTATCTACGCATTAAATTATCATCAGCGAGCGATTGAATTGAGCGTCGTCGGGACCCAATGCGAATACAACTATACAACTTGCGATTACAACACATAATACTACACAAAACTAACATAACAGTATTATAGTTATAGCGCTATCTACGATGCTAGGTACGACGTGGAGTTACAAGGACGAGTTAATCATTAAAATAAGCACCGATATACCTATATTATAATTTATAATACAAAATAAAATTACAGACTGATGTCTATTTATACAGTACGTATCATGATCCAGCGTTCTCAAATTATACATTACATTTAAGTATACAGTGTGATTAATCACGAACACGCGCACCGTCATGTACTTATATTAAATAATGAATTTATTTGAATCATGAATTCGAGAACTTTTAAGTACATTTAAAGACCATATTAAAAATACTTGAAATTGTTTGTTCTACTTAAAGTTAAGGAATATTCTGCTGTGGCGATACCAAATTCGTTTTTTTTAATGAGAACCACAGCTTCTCATTGTAAATTATTTAGTAGAATAATTTTTTTGAAAATGTTGGTGTACCTGCTTAATTCAAATTCGAATGAGAATAGTTTCCCAGTTATTGTAGACCTTAAAATGGTTTAAAAAAAATATAATATAGATGTACCTAATATTAGTAATATTGTACTATTTATTCATGTATTTATTCATACATGACTCAGTTTTATGAATAATGAATATTGATTGATTAATATCAAATACTAAAATTTTCAAATYGCAATTGCACATGTCTTCCAAACCTTTTTAATAAAGGAGCCTTTTAATAAAATCAATATCATTGGAACGCAAAGTTAAATAACTCAAAAACTATTCGTTCAAATTTTGATATTGACACATTTTCAGCAAGAATTTCCGCTAAATGTACTTATAATATCTACAGTAGAAAAAGGAGGTTCTTGTTTTATGTTTGATAAATAAAAGTTTGTATCTGCATAGGACACTCTTTAAAAGATAGAAAAATTGTAGAATTCAAAAATATGATCTTTATAAGTACCTATATTAAAAAATACCCAAAAATCAAATTTTGAATAACTGCATTATTGGAGAAAAATTATGGTTAGTATGCTTGATGAATCATCCTGTATAGCTGTTGTAGGTAAATAATAAACAAATATACTCATTATATGAGTTATACCTACCGAGTCTGTGGTCTACTATTTTCCCTCCACAACGACGAGACCAATACTATGTAGTCTATATTATAAAAGTTGAATACTTACAGTAATGGCTAACCTACTCCTGCTTGGACCAGTTTGCAGAAACGTAATATAATGCAGACCACTATAGCTGCAGTAGCACAGTGTACCGTTAACCGTCTACGCATAAAAAAAATATCAAATCTATTGTTTTGCATAATATATATTTTTATTATAGTTCACATACACTATACAGCATACCTACCTGCAGCCAGTCGCGTAAATTGAGCTAAATTTTAAGTCACGAAAATTATTTAAAGAACAGTGACTTATACTGGCTTATTAAATTTGTAATAATTTATATATTTTTAATAAATAATATAAAACATAAATGTAAATATAAATTCATATTATTATATATCTATTTGTATCATATTAATTATCTTATATACATTTTTTTTGTTTTTCTTTATTATGCTTTATAATCCTTATGTAAATTAAAATTAAATTATACTATGTATTTCTAAAACGCCAATAACCCTGAAAGTTGAGGCGTACCTATTTCTAAATAATAATTTAAAAAAAAAAAAAATGAAAATATACATAATGTATGAATGTAAATTGTAAGTACATATATAATAGGTAACAAAAGTACAGAATATTTATTACAAATCGTTTTAATACAGTATTATAGTAAGTGTTATATTACAGTACTATACTAATACTATAAAGTAGACATGTCAAACACGAGTGGCACTCAGCTTAATTTTATAGGGCCCGCGGTTACCTATATATTAAAATGAACAAAATAAAAATATTAATAAAAATAAAAAATATTTATAAATATCGTGTCTCAAGTTCACAACTATCTTAGATTCTTATAGAATGGTTTATTTGGTATACATTATTATATACTGTCTTATATTATCCTGATAAATTGTAATCGAGTAAGAATTTTTCTTTAATGTTTTTTATCAGTTAAATTTTTATGTACGGCCCGCATAGTAAGCTTTTCAACATATGGTATTTGGCCCACTTGATACTTTGAGTTTGACATGCCTGCTATAGTTTTTAAGTATAGATTATAATTTATAAATAACGGTGGAGTCCCAAAACTATATAAAATTGTGTGTGTGGGGTATATAAGCAATACGATATTTTTATATCCTTACAGTAATACAGTATGATAAGCAAAATTAGTCAGTTATATCATAGCACCATAAGTCATACCTGCCGGATGCCCGTCGCCCGTGCTTATACATGTATTCAATACGATCCATTTAACATAAAACACTATTTTAGGAAACTCTAATGTTTTAGAAAATATTAAATTAGATAATTTTAGCTTTTATGTCGTTACAAGACAACATTTGATATTTTTTTTAAATGTATTTTCACTTTCTTCAAAGCCAGCATACGTTTTTAATTATCAAATTTTCTAAATCAAAAAACTATTCAGAGTAATTCAGTTTATAAAAAAAATTTCGGACAAGTAGTTTATTAGCTATAATTTATAAGTACCTTGTACCGAGCTAGGTGCAGTGGTGTATATATAAGGAGCAAAAAGGAGCGTATGTGGGGGTCAGATCTCCACATAGGCCTTATTTTTAAAATTTTATAAAAAAGTAGTCTTGGTTAGTATTTTCATTAATTTGTATTTCGTCATGCCCAACATATGACACACAATTATACTAATAACTAACCAATATAATAATATAATTTGACCCACCGATATAACCACAATTTTAGGTATATGCCGAAAAAACGCTGCAAAGATGACTCTCACATGTTCATGTAACTATAGGTAATAACAAATTTTTTTCGAATAAGATTTAAGAAATAATAATATAATGTATAATATAGTATTACCATGGAGGACAACGGACATATTATTATTAGGGCCGGCTTTAGATACTATCACGGTTATTAGATAACTGTGGATACCATCGACGAGTGTGACGGCACAGGGGCGCCAAAATCGGGGGGGGGAGGCGGTTGTCTATTAATATGTTTAAAAAGAAGGTAAAGGGCACCGAAATAATACTATTACTAACCTACTTCAACTAGACGCTGAAATAGCTAGAGCAGCGGTTCTCAACTTTTTTATAGTCACGTATATACCACATACAAAATTTGAAAATTTTTACGTTCCACCTGACCATTTTTTCGCTTATTAGTAATGTATACGTTTATATTATATGTATAGAATTTTATTAATAAATTAATTTTTTATAAAGGTAGATTTTCTTCAAGTACCACCTAAGACTACTGTACTTTCCACGTACCACAGGTTGAGAACCGCTGAGCTAGAGCTTTGCGACATATATTATGTATACCAAATACATTTTCCTATCATTGTAAATAGTGCTGAAGTACATAGGTCAAAAATATATTCACAGACCCTCCAACACAAAAAATATGTGATGCACATCACTGACTAGGTGCCTATAAGTATTTAAAGTTTAAATGGGTGCAGTTACGGATCAATATTTTACGGGTTTCCCTATATACATACTACTTCACTCCACTTGACGAGCTTTAAATAATTTAGATTCTGAGCAAAGTAATGAATGTATTGATTTTACAATGATGTGTGTTTTTTTACATAGTTTTTTTTTTTTTGTGTGTCTGTTCTGTGTACACGATAAGAAATAAAGCTTCGTTTTTCAACTTAATAACTTGAAAAATGAATCTAGTTGATGCATTGGGGAGGTCAAATTAAAATTCCCAGTAGTCTTCAAAAGCAATAGGAAAAACAAACAAAAAAATTAACGAAAACCAGAAATTTTTACGCAAAATCAATTTTTGAGAAAAACGATTTTAGATATTGGTGCGTGACGCCTGAAAAGGAACTGATACAGGGACCTACTCTCTCCTTAAGATTTCGCTTTACACTGGGTGTCATCACTGGGTAACTTTCCCCTTCCGACAATCAAATCTCATCCAATAATTTATTTATTGTATAACTTGGAAATACAGATTTCAAATATATTAAATTTTGTTTTAATAAAAAAAAGATATTGGTGTAACACTAAAACAAATTACTGTAGACACATGACATTTTTACTGAATACTAGAATTTTATGTACTTAAAAAAAATTTCAAATCTTTTTAAGTTAATTATAGACATTTGAAATTTCCAATCATTTTAGTTTATTTATTTAATAAATGATAATAAAATTGTATTCATTAAAAAGCC